CACAAATATTTCTGTAGGATTGAAGTTTACTCAGCGAGGTCGCACAAATCGTATCCGTTTTTCCTGCTCTGATCTATTTGCAAGGCTCCGATGCAGAGAAATACCTGCAGCATGGTCTGCACGATTACTTCAGCTTTGAATTATGTATCAATGCCCAGTCATTTTTGTTTAGTTTTTGTAAGAACAGAGTAAAGCACTCTGTTATGTTTGCTTGACATTTTGCCATGTGAGATTTTCGCGTTGAGCCTTTGACGTCACTTCCTCTGAGTCCTGCGATCAACTTCCGGAACATGATCAAATAATGGCGGACGTGAAATTGAGAATTTAAAGGCCCGAAAAAAGATATTTCTGGTGCTCGGTCTAAACTGAAATTTGGCAGAGTAGGTGAAGGAGACACACTGAACACGAAAATGGAAAAAAATGATGTACAAAAATTTTGATCTCAGGGGCACTTTAATTTAAACAATTTGACGACTACGAACTTTCTAAGGGATAATTGAATGTTATTTGTTGTAGGCTCATTGATGTTATGTTAAGAATCTGACTGGACTTTGTTTATGAACAGTATGCCCCATATGCTGCCCATTATAGGAATGCTTTTCTGTGTAAGACATTGTAGAAGTTGTGTTATTAATTTTATGTTTAGGTTTTTCTCTAAAAAATGAAAAAACAGGGAGGGATGTAGGGTATTGTACCAGAACTGTTAAAAGGTTGTGTTTGTAGGCATCCCTTGATGCCTAGGGAAAGTTGTTGTTGTGGTACTCGTTGGCCGCCATGTGGATAGTGTGTGGATTAAAGTATTGAAATCAAAGAACATTGAAGGTTTTTATTGCCATATATCCAAATATCACAGATACTTAGTACAAGGGAAGTTTGACTGAGATTGATTAAAATAACAAGTAAATCTCAATGTGTTTTCAGTCTCACTTATGAGATTTCTCCAAAAAGTCACGAACACACTCTCTTACCAGCAAAGAACAGTTTTGGCCATAAGCAAGTAACTACACTTTAGGTGACAGACATCACAAGAAGTAGCTGTTTAATAATAAAATGTGACTTGGACAGGACCTCACAAAGCCTTGAGCCATTGCCATATTCATGTGTACTGTCACTATTTGTACTTTCAGAAGACTTACCTGTAGTTACTCAGTACTTACAAGGATGATAAACTACATTTTGGTGCGTTACTGGCTACAAAGTTTCTCTGCTGAGATTTTTTGTGAAATTTGGCATAAAAAAGGCATGACTGGAGCTTATCCTTTTGTCAAGTTTCCCATTTTAATTTCCTAGGTTGCAGAGACACTGTGATATACATGTAAGTGTCTTGTCTAAGAACACAACCTAGAGACCTGAATTAGGCTTGAATGTGGCCCTTTTGATCTGGAATCTAGCAGAATTTCTACAAGGTCATTGCATTGGGACAAAGAGCATGAAGAACAAATCATGCAATTTTTAAATGCCACTGAGTATTTGTCAAGTCATATGGATGGATGGGTGGATGAATTGTGCGATAACAAATTTTTCAAATCAAATGATATCCTTGTCCATGGAGCCCCTCCATTGAGAGTCTCTGCAGGTTGTAATTCTTAAGGTGATGATTACAACCTTGGTTTTCTGACTTTGTTCCAGCTTCCAAGATTGCACTTCCAGAATATAGTATATAGTCCTTTTTTGTGAGTAAAGTATGAGAAAGAAGTATTGAATGCATGTGAAATTCCACTTAACTGCTTTTTTTCATATCACTGCTGATGTCAATGCCTTAGAGCATGCTTTTCTTTTTTCAAGATAAGGGAGCAATCCTTAAAATTTAGTTTATTATCTAGGATCACCCTTAACTGTATGTGCATGAATGGCATGACAGCTTGCATTTTTTCCACGATGTAATCTATAAACAATATATCCCAAACCATGTTGATACCATGCTACAACCAGAATTAATATCATACTATGGGACCATTTATATGTATGAGGCATCAGGGGTATATTGCTGTCATCTACATACAGCCTCAAAGACATATTAGAAAGAAAGTAATTAAAACCCTTAACTTTCAAATTGAGTAACTGCGGGACAGGTTAAGGAAGGACTCCTGAGGTTAAAGGGCCTCATTGGTGGTATTCTGAAAGTATACACCATCAAGTTATACTCTATCTACTCTTAAAAGATTAGCAGACAAAGCATCGTCTTTAAAAGCATGACCTTTCAAATTGGCCAAAAAAAAAAATGAAAAAAGACCTAAGTATGTACATACGTACATACATACCTACCTACCTACCTTCCTACATACATACATACCTACATACATACATACATACATGCACGTATGCATACATGCATACATACATGCCTGCATGCATACATACATATGTATGTATACATGCATACGTATGTATGCATGCATGCATACATTCATTCATTCATTCATTCATTGACCACTCCCAATGGGGGCTTTTCAGGGCCAATTCCCACCCAGCAACCACCCCAGGGGAGGACATCCATCACACAGTAATCTCGTGCCTGGGAAATTAACGTCTCCAACCCCTAACCCTGCAGGAGACGGGGCCTACTGTTTATTCATCCTTATCCAAGAAGACTAGAATATATATCCATTTATCATAGAAAGGTAGCAAATTCTCCTCACTTATTTTAAGACCATGAGTATCAGTCCAGCCGGGGCTCGAACCCTCGACCTCCCGGACAACACAATCTGGCGCTCTAACCAATTGAGCTAACCAGGAGGCGGTTACCCTAGACAGAGGCTTTAAAGTACAGGTAAATGGTGCAATAGGCTCTCTTGAGTCAAGACATGCTCTCCTCTCTCCTGAACTCTGTTCTGAGTGACATATAGAAGTCATTGTTAGAAAAGGGGCTGTTTAGGGTACAAGGTCAGGTTAATTTGAATTCCTTCAGCTAGTGTTGTTAACACCTGCCAATAAACAGCCATGAAGTTGTCGAGAAATGAAAAATTTAGAGCCACTCCTTGAATTTTATGTTTTAACAAAGGCAGGCCCATGAGTTGACACTGCAATACCCACACTGACCATCATATACATACCCAGGTCATTTATGAGCTAATATTAAATTTTTTGCTATTGAAATTAGAGTTTCACTACTAGTGATGGACAGTGCAACATTGTCTGAAAATGGAAGAGATGGGATATCATGTCCTACAATTCACTGGCTGAAGGATATCTTACTTCCTAAACTTTGCAAGTGGGCAGGAGAAGTTCATGATAGCCAAGTTAGTAGAGGTTCATTAAGACTTGTCCCTTTGGATCAGTACACAAAGATTTATCAACGCCTCAAGCAAGACTATGGAGAAAAGTTTGTAAAGGTATGCAATTAACTTTACTCTTGTGATGGTATGGTGAATTACTGTGTTCTTCGGGTAGATACAGATAATCTTCATATCTGTTATTTGTGCTTTCTTTCTGGAGTTGTAGAACTGTTGCAGTTAATTAAATCGCACTTACTGGTATTTAAAAATGAATGTTATGTATCTCCTGGTGTTATGGTATAATTAAACTGACAGAAAAACTCTACAGACCTGAAAACTGAACTACTTTATTAAATGACAGGTAATATGCTTACTAAGGAGCAACTCCAGTAGACAATACTGTAATTATACTTAAGCCCTCTTTAAACTATAGTCTAAGCTCACCACTTCACAAACTCATAGTTTTCTCCAAAGTTCCTTGATATTATCTATTTCTTGGTATTGCTTTCTAAACAGTCGGTCAACTACTACTCAACCAAGTCCTTAATATATACATTGACCTTTAGTATTCCAGAACATTCCAGAGGCTTACAACATAAATATTTTGGTACTATTACATTATAACCACAAAGCCTGACAAAAAGTTCCAGAAAGTTCCATTTATAGTTCATGTATGCAAGTCAGCAGGACCAGGCGTGCTAGAAATTTCTATATACTTATTGTTAGTCATTCTCCATAAGAGCTGGTCAACGGTCACTTAAAAACAAAGAAAATGTCACAGAAGAAAATATTGGTTTTTGTAGTGCAATACCATCCAGCTTTATGTAACCTTAAGAACATGTTGATGGGAGAGTGCCAACTTTTTCAAAACTAACACAAAGAAAAATCATCAAGTTATATCCTGGTCAGAATTAATCTCCAAAGGTATAAGTTTGAAATGGTTTGTGGATGGCAGGGGTCATGCAGGCTCGTCAGTATTTCAAGTTTTAACTGGTCATTTGCTTCTCGAGACCTGCACCTCACTCAAAGCTTGCCAATGCGGCAATGCAGGAAAATTTCTGCAAATTTGATATTAGTTAGATTTTGAATGCTAGGACTATCCCTCTTTTCAATCCACAGGTTGAACTTTTTCATGTGCTCCTTGGCTTCATGTCAATTTCATTCAATAATTTATCGAGAAAATTATGAGAAACTACTGAAATATCTTCGCAGAATAAACCACTGATACTTTCAGGGGACTGCTTGGATGCACTAATAGAAATTTCACAAATTTAGATGGCATAGAAAATGGCAGCTAATTGCCCAATGTGTTGTGGTTCACTAGGATCCTTTAAGTGAGTGTTATATGTTTGTTTAGTGCTGCTTTGTCATATGTTAAAGAGTAAAGTTAACAGGCTTAACCATAATTTTCCATTGTCCCTAACCTTATTGATCATAGAATTGACATCAACAAAGTTCAAAACTTAACATTAAAATCACAAAGCGGCCTCTCGTGGTTTCACTTTAGTTACAATAACATCAACATTTTTTGCTAGCTTCTGCACCAAAGTTTTCAGAAAATCATTTGATTAATGGTTGCTTTGTTGTTTGTGCTGTTTTGATTTGTGTTGCATTGACAACTTTCACAATGAAATTCCAATAAGAAATGGATGGCAACAGAGTTTGTAACCCTTAATTGTTCTTATTCTCCCACATAGTTTTCATTTTTGTGCCATTTGCTTTGGCATCAGCAAGTACATGTATTTCTTCAAGGTCTTTTTTCCTTCAACCTTCTGAACAGAGAACTGGCTTTGTTTTACTGGAGACTATTCCTCCACTTTTAAAAGTTCTTCTTCAAAATCTCCTCCAAGAATGCTGATCTTCAAATTTGGAAATTCATTACTGTCCAGATCTCAGAAATTTGCAATCGTTTTACAAAATAAATTTTTTCTTTGATATGGAGAGGATTTCTGAGCACTGCCTGTTTTGTCATATACTGGAATTGCAGCAATTAATTAAATATGATAAAGTATGATAAATTTACAGTAAATGTTGACTAATTCCTCTAACAGATGTGGCCAGAAAGAACAGACCCCCAGAAATTTGTATATGAAGATATTGCTATAGCTTCATATTTGCTGGTAAGTACTTTAAGAGCTAATGTCAACACGCATCACACAAACAGTGGCAAGTGACCCAAAATTTACTTTCTCTCCTACTTTCATATTTTGTAGCCCAATATGCCCTAATAATAAGTTTTATGGAAATTGGTTGCCTCTGACTGTTGTTATTTCTGAAACAGACGTTCTGAAACAGATTTCTGAAACAGATGTTATTTCTGAAACAGACTAATGCTTAGCCTTCATCAGTGATATGAAAAACGAAGATCACTATCATATGCTATTTAACAATTATTCCACAAGCGCGTGTTGGATATGAGATGATAGATAGCCAACGAGGTGCGTAGCGCCTCGTTGGCTACAATCATCTCATATCCAACAAGTGCGAGTG